TAATTTAATGATTGTTTTTATTACTCATTATTTACTTCTCATTATTCTTTATATTAATATTAAAAAGCTGTGGAAATGCAAAGCCAGCTTGATATGGCATATCTCAGATCTGTATGAAGAAAGTCATTCAGGTTTGGAGCAACATGAGGGTGAATAAATAATGATCATTTTCATTTCTGACTGAATTATCTCTTGAGAATCGAACCCATCAGAGAGCAGGTCGCAGTAAAGCGATCGTGAGCAAACAGGTGTGTGGATGTGGAGGAAACGCAGCTGACCTACTCTTCCTCTCGCTGCGAGTCTCTCATGCATTTTGAATGAGCAGCTACAGTAGATTATTTTCCATGAGGGGAAATGCTATTGTCTGTAAACCATTGAATCACTCATACTGAGAAAACTCCTGCATGTATTTTTAATGGCCACTCACACACGGGAGCGTCCCGCTGCTGAGTCCAAGTCAAAACATGCCGTTAAACGGCTGATTTTAGGAGACGCTCGGCCCGTCTGGAGTCTGATTCATGCACACTCATGCTTTGACACATCTGTTTCCATGGTAACGGGCGGCCCTTCGGCCCGTGTGACCAGCAGAGGGAGCAGCTGATGCTCACAAACAACACAACAAACCCACAGGTTCGGTGTGAGTTCAGCCACAACAGATTCATCCACTGATCCACACAAACCTGACATGCACGAATATATATTATTACAAACTGTAATTATCAATATTATTTAAAATTACATTTGAATAATGACCTTTTAAATAATTAAAATCGAATAAATTAATATTATTAGTAACTGTGATTATATTGAAAGTATATTATAAATCAAATATATCTGTATTGGTTCAGAATACACCTCATGTAATAGTTATATATATATATACATTTTATATACAGTATATATACTTTTTGTATCATTGAGATACTATTTTATATATATTTTTAGATATGTATTAATATATCTTATGTAATATATTTTAATATTAGTTAAATTGTAGCAATTTAGTTTTCATTATTTTAGTGCATCAAGTTCAACTAAATGAAAATGAGAAATGAAATAAAATAAGTTTAAGGGTTTCTTATATTTTCAAGTAAAGGAAACTTTTTTATGATTTTAGTTTTGGTTAGCACTTGTGGAAATGTTCAAGAATTTAAAATTAAATATTAATCACCTATTGAATAATTACAATTTAAAACATTAATAGTAATGGTGGTAATATTAATACTATATTATAAATCAGCCATATTAATAGTAATATTAATGATAAACAATAATTTATATCATATATAAAAATCTAAATAATGAACATATAATAATCTAATATTTATAATATAAATATAAATATTTATTATAATAATAATCCCAATTTAATTTAATAATCTAAATAATCTAAATAAATAATAGATAGATATATCTATCTATAGATAGATAGATAGATAGATAGAGAGATGGACAATGCAACATTTTTGATAACTTGTCTATACAGAAATTGACTTGACTGTGACAACTAGCCCCAGTGACCCCTTTAAAGTATCAAATCTGAATCAACTGCATGTGAATAATTGAGGATTTGAATGGCCTGATGTGATGTATAATGCAGGAGTGAGTTGTGTGTCTAACATGAGATCTAATCTGCCGTCTGAAAGTGAAACTCAGTGTGATTTCTAATCGCTGACTGACTGACAGCAGAAGAGGAGAGGAGCCGATGGCAGCGTTTACTACAGCTGCAGGGGTCAGAGGTCAGCCCTCATTTCATTACCCATCTGAGAAAACCGACTCCAGACTGCACAAGGGTCATTCACATTCACATACAGTATACTGGATAAAATATGATAGAAACACGAGCTTACACAATGATAACAGATCTTCTTAAAGGGGTCTAATGCTATTTCATGCATTCGGAGTTATTTACACGGTTTAAGAGTTGGATTCTCTCAAACATGGCCAAAGTTTCAAAAAACAAGTTGGACGTATGACGGAGTATTTCTGTGCCAAATGCACTCTTTCTGGGTTCATATAAGTTTCGGAACGTTTTTTTCAAGTATGGCCCTTCATGACGTCATTTCAGTGACGGATGTTTTAGAAACAAGGCCCAGTTCGACGCTGGATTTGCACATCGTTTGATATTGAAAGATGGAGCGGTCTCAGCGATAAAAGATTCCAGTCATGAGCTGGAACCTCAGGCAGTGAGTAAAACTTTTAATTTTTTTAATACTTATATATACACAAACATATAGGCAATTATCGATATGATTTAAAAATAAATATTAATTGTAATAATTAATTATCTATTAAATATTTACAGTTGAATAATTAATATTAATAGTAATATTACCGTTAATAGAATATTATATAAGTTAATATATAGTTTAAGAGCTCAGTGTTACAAAACAGAAAAGACCCTTATCAGTTCAGAATGCACCTTGTTAATAATTAATATTAATAGTAATATTAATGATAAATGATATAATTTATAAAATGATATAAATATAAATTCTTTATATATTATTGTATTACTTAGTATATACATTACATTATTTAAAATTATTTTTTAAATAATATATATATATATGTGTATATGTGTGTGTGTGTGTGTGAGTGTGCGTGAGTGCGTGTGTGTGAGTGTGTGTGTGTGTGTGTGCGTGTGCGCGTGTGTGCATGAGTGTGTGTGCGTGTGTGAGTGTGCGTGAGCGTGTGTGTGCGTGTGAGTGTGAGTGAGTGAGTGAGTGAGTGAGTGAGTGTGTGTGTGTGTGTGTGTGTGTGTGTGAGTGAGTGTGTGTGTGTGTGTCACTCACAACATCACAACATTTCATCTTCATTCGACCAACAAACCATCTGAGATCTGCACCATTTCTGTCATCTTTCCACGATTCTCCTTCTGCAATTTTTTAAAGAAAGTTTTAACAAGAAGTTTAAAAACTCACATCTATTAGCTCTTAAACCACCTTTTAAGTGTGCTATTTAAAGCTGACAACATGCTGTAAACTTCCAGCACATTAACACATTTCAAGTGCAACGTTTTTCTCTTACAAGAAAAACCAAAAATATTGATGGCATCATGTTGGACTCAGACGGGTGCACTTTTTTATCCCGTACTGTAAATTATCAATTTGATAATTTACACCTTGATAATTCTATTAATGTCAACATATCAAATTTAATGTAATTATAGGTTTATTGTTATTATTAAACTGATAACAGCAGCTGCTCCAATTAAACAACTGACCTAAGCTTATTCATTAATTATTATTTACTAAAACTAAAACATAAAAAATAAATATAAATAATAAAAGATATAATTTAAATAAATATTATATTATACATATTTATATGATATAAATATAATATAAATAAAAATAAAAATATATTATAATATAAATATAAAATAATAAATATAAAAAAACTTTTATTTCACTTTTATTTGTCAAGGCAACATTTCTCATCTTTGTTTAGTTTAAGCTGAAGTACTATAATAATTAAAAATGAATAAAAACTATATTTTAAAAAAATGACAAAAACACAACAAAATTTAAAAAAACTTAACTAAAATTAAAGTGAAAGCAGAAAATATTAAAAATAAATTCCAATTCAAAATGTTAATTATTACTCAGATTCAGATAAAACGCTGTAAAAACTGATATCAAATAAATAAAAAAAGCTCAAGCACTAAACTCAAACTCAAAGCCCAGCTCTAAACAAAAACTACACTGAACAAAATTATAAACGCAACACTTTTGTTTTTGCCCCCATTTTTCATGAGCTGAACTCAAAGATCTAAGACTTTTTCTATGTACACAAAAGGCCTATTTCTCTCAAATATTGTTCACAAATCTGTCTAAATCTGTGTTAGTGAGCACTTCAGAGAGAGAGAGAGAAAGAGACATAGAGAGAGAGAGAGAGAGAGAGAGAGAGATAGAGAAAGAGAGAGAGAGAGAGAGAGAGAGAGAGTATTTACAGCAGCTAATGAATTATTGAAAGCACTCTTCATCCTCCTCATCCTTGCAGCGCTCTGTAAATGAGAGGCTGTAGTAAAGTGAGGGAAATGTCACAGATCTTCTGTTCAAGTGCTTTGTGAAGGATGGAGCGTGTTAGTCACCGTTACGCTGTAAATTATAAATGACAGTCAAAAGCAGTGAGAACTCACAGTGTGATCTCATTAGTGTTTGCAGGTAATCATATGTAGTTCTAGAAAACACAAATATGAGTTTGGATAAACTCTGATACATATAATACAAATGGATGGACAAGTTTCTAAAGTGTAGCTACATGCATATGTACAATTCATACAATTTTTGTGAATCCTGTTTAGGCTAACAGAATACCGAA